TACAACACAAAGGACGTTATTACAAGAATATACTAGTTAAGGTACAACTACGGAAGTACAGAAGTGAAAGAATAACCACTGCAGCGTGGGCCAGTCCATGGCGTACGATTGGTTTGTGCGCGTTGACTATCCTTGACCTTGACAAGGGTCAGTGATTTGTTCGATATTCAGTGACTCTACAATACTCCCCCACCAGATTCAACGGCCGTTGGAATCTATACCAAACAAGTTGGGAGTAGTCGAGCGACAGAGGTTGCCGGACGATTAATATGAATCATCTGGGCATTGCCGAGCTGTGAAAGAAATGGAAAGGAGGCTGCAGAAACTGATCGGGAAACAACGAGTAATAACACGTAACAAAGACGTTGGTTGAATGTTAAGCGATCAACCATAGAAATAATAGAAAAAGAAACATTTTGGAGTTTTATCAAGTCGCGTTGAAAAATATAGCACTGACAAGTGGTTGAGTTCCTCAGGTGAGAAAAGGTAAGTTTGTCGCAAGAGTAGTGATGTCATAGTGATAGTACGATAAGTGTATTGTCAATCGATGCCAATGTTTGTACTGCCCTTGGTACAAAGTGGAAAGTCAGTAAGTGTCGCTGACAACTGTTCGTAAGCGTCGATTTCTAGTTATATCTATATTTAACAGACTAACTGTAAGTACAGAAGTATAGCCGTGAAGATAAATCGTGGTTTTTTTGTGCGAAGCTTCTGATCAACTTGCAGCCAGTTTGGAAAAACTGATAACTGCTGTGAAAATCAATAAGGGTCGAAGAAATACAGATCGAGAGCGATAGGTGGCACGATGAAATCTCTGAAAGATGATAAACGGTGGGTGCTGCACATGTGTTTGATGAGTGAACCGAAAAATGTCGAAATGAACATAAGAAACCAAGAGTGTCACTCTGGACTCATGTCAATGATATCGGTGAAAAATGCTGTCAGTGTTGGGGTCGAGACGACAATATTGTTGTCAGTTTGCAGATGCGCCCGACTGCGTAAACCGATGATTCGCGTGAATGAGTGTCGTCAAACCACCAATTGAACTGGACAGGCTTTAGATCGTCGAGTAGTTGAACAGCCGATTGATGTACCGAAATCATCTGTTAGATAACAGCCACGCGGAAACAATACTTCATAACATAAAAATACGACGTCGAAGTTGAATAACTACAATAGTTCGGAATGTCACATCGAAGTAATATCATTTCGTATACTGACAATTGTACTGAACGTTCGTTTTGGCATCGTTAATATAGCAATTGGATGTGTAATAGCAAACATGTACGAAGACTATCGTGGGGTTTGTGGAGAATTTCAGAAGACGTTTAGATATTTTCCAAACCCGTATTGCATGTGAATAAGCCGAAGACGGAATTGAAGTGACTTTCGTACAATAAGGAAATCGAGCCATGATTTACTGTGTGAGATAACAGTAAATACAAGGCGCATAGTAAACAATAATTTAAATGGTAACCACCAATGTAAATAAAGTTTAGGTTTAAATAACGTGATCGTTTCGTAAAAATAAAGCATATTATCTAGCTCTAAGTGACATCAAGTACGACGAAGTGTCTCATTAAGACATGTACTAAGATTGCTCGTGTACATAAAATAAGTTTTTCAGAGTATGTTGACTTACGAGTCATAAATATACGTAGTTTCGACTAAAATTTGATGGCAGGGACAGAATGTATGTCTAAGTGAAAGTAGCCGCGAAATGTTTAGACATCATAAACATTATACGAAATTATTTAACAGTTATGAAACTCGCCTGGATTACTCTTGCTCCCAAGTAATTGAAATCTGCTGATGAAATTCGTAGATTAACGAAGCGTTGTAGACTGAAATGGTATACGTCCAAATTTAATTTGAGCCAAACACGTAGCCTTGCCTGGCGAAACAGTCTAAACAAGATATAACATTGCAGGAAATTTATGGTTCAAACTCACTGTAAATTTCTAGCATTTGTATCCTCTGATTCGCCATGGAACTCAGCAATTGTAAATTAGGCATGCAGTGGTCAAGAAAGTGAAATATTCTAGTAGATAGTTTTTGTTAGTAGTTAGTTGACAGTGAATAAGCAGAAAGATGAATTTAATAATCGGCAGTTTATCCTGTATTGGTTATACAAGTGGATAAGTTGCAAACAGATATGCGTCCGTGTTGTCTTCAGGCCATACATACGAGTGGTTGATATTTTAACAGACATATTACACAGGAGCATTTACATGCTGCTAATGCTTGTTAAAGAACCACGATAGTCGTAGTTGTTTGGTTAGTTCTATCGATTGAACTAATTATTTCAGTTGAAATACTAATCAACAGTGATATGAAGCAACGAATGTTCACAGAAACTGATAGAGATAGCCGAAGTTAAAAATGAAAAATTGTAAGTATAGAATGCAATAAAAAAGATCATGATAGGTTGCGTTATTCGAAGTCTTGCTCACCAGTGTAAGACCATCTACGTTGATGATCTATGTCAAAATGATCGGGGGTCTACTATAGTTAGACGAGAATGGGGACGAACCAATTAACGCTGAAGTCACACCTCGCGACCAGCCCTTACGTGGATTGAACCATCGACGCATCAAAGGATAATAGATGCTATGGAGACTGTACAACACAAAGGACGTTATTACAAGAATATATTAGTTAAGGTACAACTACGGAAGTACAGAAGTGAAAGAATAACCACTGCAGCGTGGGCCAGTCCATGGCGTACGATTGGTTTGTGCGCGTTGACTATCCTTGACCTTGACAAGGGTCAGTGATTTGTTCGATATTCAGTGACCCTACAACTTTGTGGTGTGATGTGGTTTGGTACGCCTGTGTATAAACTATTTTTTGCGGAAATACAATATAGTAGGGGCTGGAAACTGACTTCTGAACTCAAGAGCAAGAGAGATAGAGAACTTGGGATTCGTAGTCCATTGAGGACCTAGCTGCTGTATCCAGGCTACTTCCGCTATTTGGATGTGTAACTGGTCAGCTCAGTGACAGCAAATCATATCAATCAGGATTCTGATTGATGGCTTTGTTACTTAATATTAGAGAGAGGCCATAAGGCAACAGTTCAATACATGAATTATTTTTTCCCTGTTTGTGTTACTTTAAAGATGATTTCGATATATATCTTGTGTCTGCATACTCAACGATTTCAATCATCTTTATTTGGATTGATCGATTTTAGTAACCCACTATCTGATACCTTATTATCGTATGGTGTTGGGGTTAATGGAGTATATATTATGTTTACTTCATGTATATTCGTTCAACATACCTCGATAGTAACAGCATAGATTTAAGAAATCGTTTGCGAAAGTACTTGAGGAACACATATTTCAGACACTTGATAATGGAGACAAAAGAGACGAAAGGAATGCATATGAACTGGAGTGTCGGAACTAGTCAACTTCGAATGAAAGCGATGTAAGTAAATATACAGACACATATGCACTAGCAAACACACATGTATAAAGTATGACCAACGGAGCATTCGGGTAAATAGCGAGCTGAAATTTATGTGATGGGAAGAATAGAAATACTGGAATAATTAATTTACGCTTACGTTGGAACAAACTACTTAGTTTTGTAGTAGTACAGATTTATAACAATGCAATCATATGCACAACTGATCAATTCATGTAATCGAGCAATCTAAGGACTGTTAATGGAATAGTCACCGCCGCCTCCGCATTGATAGCGTTGTATATCAGAGTGACTGACATGATTTTACAGTGACATTCCTTGGTCAATTGTGTTCTCGACTTCCTTTAGTTCGTTCATAGAACTAATTGATGGCTCCCTCTGTTTACGATCCTGTTCAGAAAATTTCAACGTGCCATCAATTCTTGTGCTACGCGACTCTTACGGACTGTGAAAATGATCAGTTTTTTGTCCGTTACTACCGAATGACTTATAAATCGGTGCCTTGAAATCATAATTATTCTCGTCTTTGGTCATACTACTGCACTTTTTTAGGCTGTGATATAAAGATATATTTTTTAAAAACATTTGTTGGAGAAAAACCATCAACGACAATGTCAGACTTCATACTTTCAGCCAGTAGCAGTGTGACAAATTAAATTAACTATTGATGCACTAGTTGTGCTACCTCCGTGGTATCATTATTTCTAATATAAACTTCATTTGCGCTGTTTGTAAAAAACTGCCAATCACTTTTCACTGCTAATATATTTCAGTGCTACATATTAAGAACGGTTTATGGGTTATATTATGTTTTACCATTATCACCATAAATCAACTTACATCCTTACAAGTTGTACGTCATTCTTAATCATGTCAATAAGCCTGAAATTCTTAGGTTTATCAGTACTTGTTTTTCCACCATCGGTTTCCGTCGCTTTCTTTCAATATTTTAGCCTTTCAACCTCCGTTGCGCGACTACCAACGACATGTTTGGTAACGACTCAAACGGCTTTTGAATCTGAGTAGACATTATTGTATAGTCAGTGAGATGTAACAGAACCAGAACCAAGCGATACTTCACCTTAAACTGTTAACTCGTTGGATGAGACATTTGAGTGAAATACATCACATTTTTAACCGAAATATGTCATTCTTATAACCTGATTGACAACTGGGAAAATAAACTGGATTCAATAGCTCTACCAGTTTGCTTGGTGTTGATAGATGGGGAAACATATACTTCGCACTGACACTCCATCGATTACTACGAAACTATCAGGATACCACCAAAATGCCGAGTAACTTCAAGTCAGGGGATGCCGCGATGTCTTGATAAGTCCGTCTGCTTGCTGATTTGACTGTTACCGTTAGGACAAAATAAATTGTTTACTAAGGTGTGAACAAAAGCGGATTCCACAAATTGACTGATGGCCGACTCTGTGCAAGTGGAAGAGCACAATTTAAAGAACTTAGGGAGAATATTAGCCATCCAAAGGTTCAATTACGATACTGATAGTTTACAAAAACTCAGATGATTACAAAGGAGACCGGCAAAACGAATATTTATAATCATAATAATATATTCTGAAAATAATATTTACAGAATTCACACCAGTTTACAGGCATGATCAGATTGTTATAAAAATCAACAATTAATGTAGAGAACAAACATGAAATATAAGAAAGTTTTATGTTTGCTGGTTTACTAATTGATAAATAGTTTGAATATGGCATATGTCACGGCAAGCCAATGCAACACCAGGGAACTTGTCATTTTTTTATTAAGTGGATAGCCTGATGATTGATCAACATTGTTCTGTAAGGATATTTCCAGTGCCAGAGCGAGTTATTATTAATTATCTACAACTAGAGAAAGTAAGATTAAAGCAAAGAGCACGGAACAACAAAACAATGATAACAAGTACGTGGTCAAACATTTAAAGTTCCTATAATCTCACTTGTGGAGTAAGATACACTTGCAGGCGCTAGAGCATTTAATGTATTTTCAGAGGAGCAAAAAGCATTAATTGAGCGAACAAACAATGGGAGAGAGTTTAACATACGGATAGTTTGGGGTAGATTATTCCAGAGCCTAGAAAACTTACAGGTAAAGTAATTCATATAGAGAGAAGATCTAGAATATGTTTGTTTCGCTAAAGACAAGGAGTTACGAATGTCGTAATGTGGAGCTTTAGCATATTGAATCGCCTGACTGGATGTGAAGGAGAGTTTGTTAAGTATTTTGAAAAAGAAGATAAGGTTAAGTTTGAGTCTCCTCATCCATAAAGGGTCAAGCCCTAGTTTACTACACCTCGAATTATATGTCAACACACTATCAGTTCCAAGAGTACGAAGTGTAAATCGTCTCTGTACTGATTCCAGTCTTAATTTATCCTTTATGCGCGTGCTACTAAGGAGAAACGCGCAGTATTCGAGGAGTGGTCGAACACAGACTTTGTACATTAGAATACGGGATTCGCTGTTATGAAGGTTTCGAGTTATGAAACCTATAAGGCGTTGAGACTCGGACGTTTGTTTCATTATCTGTTCAGTAAACGACAAGTCGTCGGAGTACCTAAGTCCTAGATCTACTACTGTGTGTAACCTAGATAACATTTCCCCATTTATGGTAAGATTAAGGTTGAGTGATGTATCACCGAAGCATAGCCAACCACATTTAGCTGTATTGAGCTCCAGTTGCCATTTCGAGCACCACTGTGCTACCTTGTTAAGCTCCGTGCTGATACAATTTTGAATATTGCTCAGCTCATGTGGAGAAAATGAGTACACCACCTTAAGATCGTCTGCAAACAAAAGGGACTTACCCACACTAAAACACTCACAAATATCATTAATGTAAACTAAAAAGAGCAAAGGACCTAAGACACTACCCTGAATTACCCCACTTCTAACAGGGACGGCATGCGACAATGAAGAGTTGATTTTAACTATTTGATGTCGATTGCTGAGGAAGGAATCAAACCAGGCTAGTAACGGGTTTTGGACCCCATAAGATGCGAGTTTACCTATGAGAAGATGGTGGTTGACCATGTCGAAGGCCTTAGAAATGTCCAGGTATAGCACTAATACTTGATATCCTTGGCTACGAAACGAATAGACTAAATTAAAGAAGTCAAAATGACATGTCATACAGGATCGATTTTTAAGAAATCCATGTTGCGAATCATCAATAAATTGTTCAGTCAATAAATAGTTGGATAGCTCGTCACTAATAATTTTTTCCATAATCCTAGAGATAACTGGAGTAATATTTATTGGCCGAAAGTTGTTCATGTCAGTCTTATCTCCGGATTTGTAACGTGGTATGATGTACGCGGTTTTCCAACGGTTAGGATAAGAGCCTGATTCCATAGAGAGAGTAAACAGCTTAAGGAGAAGAAGTTGGATATCTGGACCACCATATTTGTAGAGAAATGATGAAATCCCGTCTGCACCGTGACCTTTCGAAAACTTGAGGTTATTTATAACCTTACTAATTTTCAGACATGTGAAGGAGATAGATTTAATTGAGTTACCAGTCAAGCATATAACTCTAGAAACAGAGCCATTTATGGGTTCTTTGCCATTTGCAAAATTACCACTGAAAAGGTCTGCTATAGTTTTTGGGTCATATATAAAACTATTATTATGCAGGATGCATGGTATATCAACATTTTGAGTTGATTTAGCACGTTTATTATAAGTGTGGATTAGGTTTTGCACTTTTGAGCTAGTACGTAGTGCTAATAGCTCTTCATTGATGGCTTTTAACCTATGTTTCTCTTTAATTTGGTTAAAAATTATTGTTATTTGTGTGACTGCCGTGAAGTCGTTAGATTTATAATAACGTTTCTTTAGGCGTCTTAGTTTATTACGATATTTAGCTGGTATATATAATTCGTGATGTTTACTAATCCTGTAAGTCTTAATTGGTGCACAGGAGTCTAGACAAGAGTTAACAATCAAATAGAATATGCTGATGGCATCTGTCAGACTATTACATGAGAAGAATTCATCCCAGTCTGACAGTTTGATCAGTGAGCGCAAGAGGTCCCAGTCTGCATGCTTATAGTCTCTATAATTGCAGGTTCTTTGAATTGGTCGGTTGTAGGAGGGATAGATGGGGAGAGCACAAGCTACTATCCTATGATTACTGCTTTCAAACTCGTTGTATACTTGTACAGATAGGGGAATGATATCTCTACTAAATATTAGATCAAGTGTATTATCACCCCTTGTTGGGGTACGAACCCACTGTGACCAGCAGTACAGATTAAGGATTGATAAAAATTCATCATTGCTAGACTGACAACTACCGGTACTCCAGTTAATCCCAGGATAATTGAAATCGCCAGTGATAATCTTAGCACTGAAGTTTAGAGTAGATGCGTGTATAAATGCATTGATCATTCAAATTATCAGTACTATCAGGAGCTCTATATATACAACCTAGGAGTAGACTATGGTTTAGGGTATTGATTGATATCCAGATCGATTCTGGTAAACTATTCAAGATACTATCTTCAACTTTGTTTGTTGTTAAGGTATCCATAGCAAATATAAGACAACCGCCTCCTCGCTTAGTTTCTCTGTCACAGCGATAGAGTCTATAGTTTTGGATATTTAATTCGGAATCGGCCACTGCTGGATAACACCACGTTTCAGTGATAAGTATAAAAGAGGGCTTGGCTAGAAAGGCTAAGGTTCTCAAGGCTGAGATTTTGTTCAGAAGTGAACGTGCGTTAATGAGTAATAAGGTTAAAAAGGGAGTGTGTAGTGTAAAAAAACCGAGAACATCCTTATCGATGGTATGAGTTCTAGCTATGCCTGGACTATGGTTTAATGTGTTTGCCGAATCGCATGGGCTATAGCATGAGCGAACTGTAGTGCTAGTGGAACAAGGGATCTCTGGAAGCCGAAGAAATAATCCTTATTTTGGTAAGGTTGAATACATTGTTGTACTTGTTTTCGTGGACAATTAAAACAGGTGCCTGCATGTTGTGGTTGCGTTGATGGTGCATAACCTAGTATACCATCTTCACTGCGAGAGTGATGATAAGAGTTACATCTTGCAGGTTTATTATTTATTACATATGGTGGAAACCATGGGGCACGTTGGTTTATTGCCGTCTGTCTAATAGTAGGCCTGCTTACCTGGTGGTTGTAGTGGCCGTCTCGTGTAACGTTTGAACGAAATGTGTCATTATAACCTCCCTTACGATGAGTAGGGTTAAGCATAGTTTCAGAAATTATACTTTTGTTTGGTAAAGCCGTTGAAATATTTTTGGTATTCGGTTTAGAACTAGGAGGATTTTTATTTACTTTCTTCTTAATTGGTATATTCTTTTTAGGTTTAGCAGTGTTTTTATGAGCCTTCACAATAGAATCAGGTGTTTGATTTTGGGCTTCCGATATTACACTGGAAAGAATGACATTAGAGTCTCCATCAGATATATCCTGGTTATCTAAGGGCCACTAGGGGTATGAGAGGCAAACTAACACACTGCATTGCTATATCAGTACACTGACTAACATGAGATAAATTAGCTGCACCTGTGGGTTCAGCTGCTGGCGCGATCACATTTGTTGTGACCTCAACAATTTTATTTTCGTTTATGGTACGCTTTTGTGTTAATCTTTGATTGGTGGTTTTGTCTGAGACTATACGAGCGTTTTTAAACTTCGTATGCGCACAGACTAGCTGTTCAGATTCTATCAAACGTTCCGCTAATAAATGGGAATCGAATCTAAACAGGATAGGGCACGAGTATTTTTGATGCTTTTTGTTAAGCCGGATACATTGGTATGGACTGTCCTGGAGGTTAGTTGCCTTTAGTATCGAGTTTCTTACAGTTTCAATGGCAACTTTGTCAGGTATATTATATATAATCACGTTATTTCGTGAGATTATTCGCATGGTGACTTCACTAGCTATCGAGTCAATAACGGATTCTACTTTGATCCTGTCTTCGAGTTCAGAAGTAACTATATCCTTTGACAACAGCAGTCGAAGGGGTGACAGTGTCTTTAGTCCTAGTTTAAGATCATCATGCTTTAATAAAGAGCCCTCAAATGACTCCACTTTAGAACGCATATCACCTAATTGCTTATAGACAGCGGCTAATTCGCTCTTAATAAGATCGATACCATCTGTTCGTGAGTTAGAAGTCATTATTAAGTTTGACACAGAGTCATCCAACAACATGTGTGGAATAAGTCCACTCCCGCTATTATCTGGTGCAACAGGAGTTGCAGAGCATGGGGTATAGGTAAGACCAGAGTTGTTAATATCTGAAGAAATAGGACTTTTTGGAGCTCGTTTTTGTGACAGTCGAACCATTTTTTTAAGGGTTAATTGAATGTTATTATTGATTTATAAACTAGGGTTTAACGATATATAAGCACTTTATAATAAATACCGTGTCAGCGTAACGCAAATTTCAAACGTACCGCATCAGATGATGAGAGGGTCAATCTTTCAACCTATTGAAGCAAGATCTAGCCCTGCAACCAACATCAATCACAACAGTAACGTTTCGCCTAATGATTAAAAACCCATACGTAACTTTCGAAACAGCGAACGAACTAAATAAGATGATAAAAGCTCGTGAATCCATGGAACAGTCAACTCGATTCAGTAATAGTGGGAAAACGAGAATAAATAATACAAGCTAACAGGAAATAGCATTATTGACGTAGACATAATAGAAACGCCGATCATCGTAATGAGGCTATAAACCAAATTGAACCAAATTTGTCGTGAATTACAGGATCTATAATGGCTGATATTAATACACTGAGGATACAACGGATATTCTAGTTTTGCAACTACCAACCAGTAGTACCTTCTATATTCGATCGTTCCCGGCCAAAGGAAATCAGAAGTCAGAAGAGAAGAGGTAGGAGAGATATATTTGATACGTTACCAATATATCGAGAGGCGTTCGTTCTTAGCTGACTATGAAAACGTAGGAGCTGTGTCCCATGCCGAGTTGCAACGTGATCTGGTATGGATGCATGACCGAAAGCCTTCAGCTAAACAAGTCCACTTAAACAACGTGGTCAGCATCCAATGTCGAACACTTAATGAGCTATTGATTTTGGGGAATTATTTACAGCTACAGATCACTCCCCCCCCTAGTGATGCCCCTAAGACGTGACCAGCCAGAAGTTTAAACCCGACGAGTTTGTCGTTGGTAAACACTCTTTTGATAGCTTGCTTCGTTTAGCAGCGTCTGGTCGCCTTTCCTTAAACTAAGGGACCATGATGTACAACATAACAATAAAGAAATAAAATACAATGAAAATTTCGGTTCCTTGCGAAACTTCGTCGTTCTTTTCCAGTCGTCCTGGAAAAGAGAAAACAATAGAACGTGTGAGTGCATGTCGGAAATACACTCGTACTTGCGTAAGGACACAAGATGAGCGGGAGAAAAAAATAAATAAACTAATACACTTGCAAACAGCGTAAAAGCGATCGGAAAAAAATGGTTTTTTTCTTTGGTTTTTTTTATATAAATAAAAAAATTATCATATTAAAAAATTTTTTTTAAATAAACTATAAAATGGTAATTCAAGATAAAACCTGTGTCCTACGTGCAATATTCGTTAAGATGTTCTGGAAATCTTACTCGTCCTCCAGAACAGGTTGTTTTAGGTTTATCTATCGATGTTGACGAAGTATCAAGTTGTGTGTCGGCTGTCGTGTAGGGTACTACTAGTGTAGGAGCCGTGTCGTATGATTGTACCGAAGGAAATTCGACGTAGCTAGGTTTTCCTTCTAAGTACGCTGCTTTCAGTCGATCGATACAGATGCTATCGTTCGTACCGTTCTTATCGACTACATAGTACTTAGGTTCGCGTTGAAGAACTTTGAAGGGTCCTTTGCATGCTGATTCGAGGGGTCGTCGATGTGAGTCTCGACGAACGAAGACGTGTGTACTCTGTCGTAATTCCTTTTGAACGAAAACATCAGTTGATTGAGGTCGAGTGTGAGCAGGTTTAACTGAACGCATAGCGTTTGTAAGCCTACTCGTGTAAGAGTTTAGATCCATGTTCAATGAAGAAGCTGAAGGATCCACAAATTCTCCTGGGAGTCGGAGTGTCGTTCCGTAAACGAGTTGAGCTGCCGTGTATCCAATGTCAGCTTTCAATGCATTGCGGATACCTAGCAGGAGGAGTGGAAGGGCATCTGTCCACTGTGAAACGTTTGAAGCTGATAATGAAGCTTTTAGTTGTCAATGAAAACGTTCTACTAAACCGTTTGCTTGTGGGTGGTAGGCGGTCGTTCGGAAGCGCGTGATTCCTAATAATGAGCTCAGACAACGGAAAAGTCCAGATTCAAACTGCCGTCCGCGGTCTGTAGTGATGGTTGAGGGGCAGCGGAAATTCGCTACCCATCGTTCGACGAAAGCGCGGGCCACGGTTTCAGCAGCAATGTCCTTAATCGGTACTGCTTCTGGTCATCGAGTAAAATGGTCTACACATGTTAAGAGATATGAGCATCCGTTTAAGTCGGGTAAGGGTCCTACCAAATCTAGATGGACGTGGTCGAAACGAGCGTCAGGGGTTTTGAAAGAGCCTAAGGGACATTTGTTGTGTCTTATGACCTTAGATTTCTGGCAGCTTACACAGGAGCGTGCCCACTCCCTCACGTCTTTATTCATGCCAGGCCAACAAAAGCGTTCGACTATAAGTTTGACTGTTGCACGAGCACCTGGGTGAGAAAGATTGTGCAACGTATTGAAGACGTTGCGTCGATAATGTTTTGGTACTATTGGACGATCCCTACCTGTAGATGTGTCACAGAGTAAGGTTTCCTTACTTGTTCCCATCTGCTTAATACTTAGTTTAAGAGTTGTCGAGGATAACTCATGCTGAAGATCAATGTCTTCTTTTTGAAGCTGAGCGAGTTTAAGAAGGTCGATTCCTTGGAAACTGTTCAAGGAACTTATTCGAGACAAGGCGTCTGCGACTACATTGTTTGCTCCAGAAATGTGTTGTATGTCAGAAGTAAACTGCGAAATGTAACCGAGTTGTCGAGACTCTCGCGGTGAGTACTTGTCTGAAGATGAACTTAAAGAGAAGGTAGGAGGTTTGTGATCGGTAAGAAGCATGAGTTCTCTTCCTTCGATGGAATGTCAGTAATGCCGTACAGCACAATACATAGCTAGTAGTTCCCTACCGAACGTGCTGTACCTAGATTCCGCGTCTAACAACCGTCTGGAGAAAAATCCTAAGGGTTGCCACGAGTTGTTAACCCATTGTTGTAAGACTCCTCCGATTGCTGAGTCGGATGCGTCTACGGCGATAATAATGGGCGCTTGAGTGTCCTGATGAGCAAGCAAGGTTGCTTTAGCGATGTTTTCCTTAACTGTGGAGAATGCTTTGCGGGCTATGTCGTCTAAACTAATTGATTTCGCATTTCCACGAAGCTGATCCGTTAACGGTTTTATAAGGGATGCGCATTTGGGTATGAACCGTCTATAGAAACTTACAAGTCCGTTGAAAGTTCGTAACTGCTTGATCGTGGTCGGTTCTGGGTAATCTAGAATGGCCGCCACTTTGCTCCTAAGGGGTCGGATGCCCTGGGCATCAATAGTGTGTCCTAAGAAGTCTAAGGAGTTAGTTCCGATTTGGCATTTCTGAATGTTGACAGTAATGCCATGCCTTTGGAGTCGATCGAAAACAATGTCCAGATGCTTGAGATGCGATTCTCTGTCTGGACTTGCTATTAGACAGTCATCAACATACGCATGTACGAAGTTGAGACCTCGAAAGACGTCGTCTATAAACCTTTGGAAGGTTTGAGCCGCGTTTCTTAAACCAAAAGGCATTCGTAGAAATTCGTAAAGACCGAAGGGAGTGATGATGGCGGTTTTAGGAACGTCGTCAGGTGCCATCGGGATTTGGTTATAGGCCTTAACTAAGTCGAGTTTTGAAAAGACAGTTGTACCTTTCAAGGTAGCTGTCAAATCGTGAATATGAGGCAATGGGTAACGATCGGGAATGGTTTTTGCATTCAGACGCCGATAATCACCAGTTGGCAGCCAATCATTGCTGTCCTTTTTAGGGACCATGTGCAATGGGGATGACCATGGACTATTCGATGGTCGAATTACACCTAAGTCTATCATATGGTCGAATTCGTTTTTGGCTAACCTAAGTTTTTCGGGAGCGAGTCGACGGGCTTTCGAGAATACAGGTGGTCCTGTAGTCGAGATGTGATGTGTAACATTGCTGGTTACACAAGGCAATTTCGATTGCGATTGGTATATCCCGGGGTATTTGTCGAGTACTGATTGGTACAATGGGTCTATGGTGTGCTTAATCGTGACTGGGGATAACCTGCAACCGGAACAAGGAGTTACGCAAACGGATAACTTAGTGTTTCCGTCTATCAACCTTCGTGAGCGTGTGTCGATGAGTAGATTGTGGTGTTGTAACAGGTCTATACCAATGATTGGCATGGAGACATTTGCAACAACGAAAATCCAGTGTATGGGTTTGCGTAAACCCACGTTAATGTAGACGTACCTTTTACCGTAAGTAGCGATCGGTTTTCCGTTTGCCGCCTGTAAACTTAAAACAGTAATGTCCTTAATCGGTACTGCTTCTGGTCATCGAGTAAAATGGTCTACACATGTTAAGAGATATGAGCATCCGTTTAAGTCGGGTAAGGGTCCTACCAAATCTAGATGGACGTGGTCGAAACGAGCGTCAGGGGTTTTGAAAGAGCCTAAGGGACATTTGTTGTGTCTTATGACCTTAGATTTCTGGCAGCTTACACAGGAGCGTGCCCACTCCCTCACGTCTTTATTCATGCCAGGCCAACAAAAGCGTTCGACTATAAGTTTGACTGTTGCACGAGCACCTGGGTGAGAAAGATTGTGCAACGTATTGAAGACGTTGCGTCGATAATGTTTTGGTACTATTGGACGATCCCTACCTGTAGATGTGTCACAGAGTAAGGTTTCCTTACTTGTTCCCATCTGCTTAATACTTAGTTTAAGAGTTGTCGAGGATAACTCATGCTGAAGATCAATGTCTTCTTTTTGAAGCTGAGCGAGTTTAAGAAGGTCGATTCCTTGGAAACTGTTCAAGGAACTTATTCGAGACAAGGCGTCTGCGACTACATTGTTTGCTCCAGAAATGTGTTGTATGTCAGAAGTAAACTGCGAAATGTAACCGAGTTGTCGAGACTCTCGCGGTGAGTACTTGTCTGAAGATGAACTTAAAGAGAAGGTAGGAGGTTTGTGATCGGTAAGAAGCATGAGTTCTCTTCCTTCGATGGAATGTTGGTAATGCCGTACAGCACAATACATAGCTAGTAGTTCCCTACCGAACGTGCTGTACCTAGATTCCGCGTCTAACAACCGTCTGGAGAAAAATCCTAAGGGTTGCCACGAGTTGTTAACCCATTGTTGTAAGACTCCTCCGATCGCTGAGTCGGAT